TTGTAAAAAATAATCGCACGAAAATGTTCACAATTTAATTCCATTTTGGGGCCAAGATGAATCTTTCAAGTTACTGTAAACAACACAAATATCGCTCGTATGTCAAATCGTTCTGAGTACGTATAACCTCAAAACATCCAACTTTACGATAGAGCTGCCAGTTGCCAGATTACAACACCAAGGTTGCCAAACATAAAAGGCGACCTTCGTATTCTTTTCACATATTCCGTACCTTCAACAGGTTATGAGCCCAGAGTGTGCTCTGTCGTGAAGCCAGTGGCGGCTCGTGCCTATTCGTATGTGCATACCCAAATTAATCGGTGCATTTTCTCTTAAATATCTCTAAACAAGGGTGAATACAAGTCATCTCAGTTTCCAAAACATGAAATTTCAAAACACGCGCGTTCGACGCATTGAACGCAGGAAGTGTGAGATATCCACTGAAAAGAGCTTTCATCCCTTCCAATAAAACAGTTCTTCGCTGGCGCGCGAACGCATTGCTATGCAGTGATGCATTTATAATAATTGTGTTGATTTAATATTACAACCACATTCTCGTATATTTTGGAGTTGCAATTACAAATACATTTCGAATAAATGCATTTGGGTTGGCTACTTTTTTTAATGCGTTTTGAAAATCCTAAGTTAGTGTGTTCGTTTTTCTGTCATGCGTAACGAAAAAATTGCTGAAAAAAACAGAGTTGAATTGACTTTGTGTATCGTCACACAGTGTAGACGGCAAATCATTTAGTTGTTTTGAATATTCGGTGACTTGTACTTTTAACCTAAAATTTGTACAGCGAGCTCATGGAAAATACTATAGAGTAGCGAAATTTGCATGGTCAGAGGGAAGATCAGGCCTCATGGCCCGAGTCTCACCACGTGAAATAAGGAAGGCATCAATTTAAATCAATTCAAAAGTGCGAGTAAAAATGTTTTTTTAATTGGCTGTCCGGGTGACGCCGCGTCCATGGCAAAGGTGCCGACGTTTCGGTCGCCATTTTGCGACCTTCCTCAGGGCGTAATGAAGAAGGTTGCAGAATGGCGACCGATACGTCGGTACCTTTGCCATGGACGCGGCGTCACCCGGACAGCCAATTACATACTTACTCCGGCCGCGGAAGTCTACGCTCTCAAAAAGGTTTTGAATCAACGTGTACAATAGAACTCTTTAACGCCCCTGGAAAAACAGTTCTGGTACGCGCTGAGTAGATACGCGGTAATCCGAGTCTAGTAGTAAGTACTCCGGAGGGGTTCTTGCCTAGCGAAGACAAAGCAGATGTTTGTAGGGAGATGCCGTTCAGTATGCTATCAGACTTCATAAGATGCTTTGTGTTTAATTGACATTATTTATGTTAATGTGTGCATGCGACGTATGCCTTTGTATATGGGTGTGTATCAGAGTGAGAGAGGGGGGAGAGACGTTGCACATCCCACGGATGTTTTGAAAAAAAATAATTTTTTTCTGATTCAGGGGACCCCAAAACGTGTATTTCCATTGAAATTTCGAAATCGATTTTCTGCTGCATTACATAACGTTCTCTACACTACGTATACTCCGTATATATGTACGTATACGGGAAAGGAAACATTCCATGAATTTATAATTTAAATTGACAGATGAAACTGATACAAATATTCCAAAAGATATAAAAGAAAATAACTTGCAGATCTAAGTACAATCACGAAATTTCTCAAATCATAGTCACCACCAATTGAAAAATTAGAATTCATATATCGAAAAAAAAGGTCGTACGGTGAGACAGTACTAAGGTAACCGGGCGAGAAAGTAATAATATTATCGTGCTATTAGAAATTTTACCAGTTACATTAGCCACCGGAAATATATCATTTTTCAGAATTAAAAATTATTAGTCTAAAAACTTCCTACGATCAACTATGTCACAAGAAATTTTAACAGATCTAGCAATGATACCAATTGAAACTGCAACCTGCATTTTTTAGAGAGTTTCATAAACAAATTTGCAAGTTTGAGGTTCGAAAAGTGCCTTGTTTTATATTCTACATAGATATTATTAATTATTTAATACATCTATAATAACACTTCACTAAATTCTACTTACGTCCTTACACGCGATTAGCCGCAAAAATAACTCAAAAGTTGGTTTGAAAAATTGCTTTGTAGGCAAAAATTTGCATTGCAGAACCATAAAAACACTCCAGAGACATGTAAATTGTTTATTATTAACAAAATAAATTAATATATTTGTTCAGAAAGAAAAGCTAATCGAAAAATAAAAAAGCAGTCGAATTGTGTTAATTAGGTGCTTTTTCATTTCTGTGTTAATGTTTCTTTCTAAAGAAATTCATTTACATCTTTTGTAAATAATAAACAATTTACATACCTCTGGAGTGTTTCTATGGTTCTGCAACACAAATTTTTGCCTAGATAGCAATTTTTCAAACCAACTTTTGAGTACTTTTTGTGGCTCATCCATTCGGAATATCCAAGTAGTTTAGTAGACAAAATATGCTTAAAACTGTCTTAAGAGCTTATTTGCGAAGATTCGAAGTCTCCTCCCCAGTCATCCTGAATATTATAAATCGTATTCTTTGGATGTTTCCTCGGGATTCTCCCATTTGCCCTGCCATTCTTCTATCATTCACTTTATTAACAGTTCATGTGCCGTTCAATCCTATTAAATACATTTATTAATAATTTGTATTTCTCATATTTCTAGTTTGAATTTGCTGCGGGCCATTTCACCGTTAGGCGGAACGTGGCACTGTGCAGATCGTTAGAATTAGATTCCAGATGCTAGATTCCTGCAGTAAGCGAAAATTGCACGAAAAAATTGCACGATTCTAGCGCTCCAAACGGTAGTGGCCAGATGTACACGAGAGTTTCTCTGTACATAAGTAATTCTAGGGGTAAATAAAAGGAGGATAAGTAGATTCATTGGAGTAGTATTGGAAGTTCTGTTACATGTTTATTGTGAGACGGAGGGATGAAGAAAACTGATTTCTGAGTCCGCACCGGTGTTTATCGATAATAGTTACAATTCGTTATTTATATCTTGGAACAAGATACTATAGTATCTGTATTTGTTATTAGTTTTGTTCAGGTAATCTTATAACGATATGATTCAATATTGTGATTATACCGATCACCTTTATTCGTGAATCTTGCAAACCACGTTCATCTTTTGTATCATGGTATTGTTTCAGATAAATTGGCCAAAATGTTCAATCAAAGCGCAATGGGTGCGTCGTCGAGCTTCGGCGCGACACCTACACCTTCATCAGCTAATCCAATGAAAGATTTTGAAGTTACTTCTCCTCCTGATGATTCTGTGTCATCTCTTGCATTTAGCCCCGCGACTATTCCTCAGAATTTCTTGATTGCTGGTAGCTGGGACAATAATGTAAGATTGATGTAATTATAAATTTGAGTTCAATTGTGTAGTATGATGCAATGTAATGTTGACTAGTTTGGATTTAGGTCCGATGTTGGGAAGTGGAACAAACTGGCAAAACAATTCCAAAGTCGATGCAGACAATGCAAGGTCCAGTTTTGGATGTTTGCTGGAGTGATGTAAGTTAATTTAAAAATATTTTTTATGTGATAAGTTGTTTTTGTTGATTTGCCTGCACCCAACTTTTGTGGCATAATGTCAATGAAAATAGGTTGGTATTCCATTGTCATTTTCTTGAAGAACTTTGTTCTTTGTAGGATGGCACCAAAGTTTTTATGGCTTCATGTGATAAAATGGTGAAGTGTTGGGATTTGAACAGTAATCAAGCAATTCAAGTAGCTGTGCATGATGCACCAGTGAAGACATGCCATTGGGTGAAAGGCAATACCTACTCTTGCCTTATGACAGGCTCTTGGGACAAAACATTGAAGGTAAACATTATTGTGTTAGTAGCATTTTAAAAAGTGAAAGTTTAGTATGTATTATAGATTGCCAAATAACGAACAGAACTGCTCCTAAAATCTTGTATTAGAGTGATAACAAGCTTTGATGCAGTAGTCCTTGGTCATACATTTTCAAATTGATGTCTTTCATACAACAAAAAAAATTAATTTATGAATTACTTTAAAAAAATTTTAAAAAGAATTTTCTACAGACTTGACATCAAAATTCTTCAAAATGTTTTCTTAAGAGGAACAATGGAAAGTTTTATGATCAACAGTTTGACTGCTTTTCATATAAACTCTTAACTGGAATTCTTAAAATATTTCCCTCATTAAAACTGTTAAAAGATCTGTAGTCTTGTCTTGTATAGTAAAAATCTTGTTTTTGTCCCCCTATCAATAAAATACTATAATTATTTTGTTGCCCCAAATAAAGTAAACCCAGAATTTGGAAATACAAGAATGATACGTGCCGATTACTTCACATGGTATGTGGTCAATTTTTTCAATATTCCTCCTAATAAAACATGATAAAATTGGAGATGTAGAAATTTCTTAATCAATTACTGGTTATTAACAAACTACATGAGGGTGATCAGTTTAAAATGCAACCCAAAGCAGGGAGAGCGAATCTCACTGGCAACTATGTTTAAGCCTGTCAGGTAGCAGCAGGGGTTTCAAGCAAGTAAACTGTTGGGAAGTACCTAGCTTAATCCCCTCTCTCCGAATACCACCTAGAGGAGGAGAGCTAATGACCCTCGTGGCCATGAGCTCAAAGAGAAATGCACACCTGTGTGTTTGGCAGGGAAAGAAAATGAAATTGGCAAGAACAGCGATTCCTTGTTTGAAAGTGAAGTGAGCTTGAGATGTAAAATAAACATTCAGTTGTATTTAATAACAAATTTTGCATGTTTTAGTTTCATTATAAATATGCTCCCAAAATGTAGCCATGTTTTATCCTTGCTGTTAATTAACTATTAATAAATTAAAAATTCCAGGTACTCAGAACTAATGTTAGTTATTATTATTGTTATTAAAATCTTACTAAAAAAAAAAGTTTTGAAAGAGCAGGCTCAGTAGCCAGTTCATAATAATCATGGGTTAAATTGTCAGTGAAAGATAGTCACTGGTTGATGTTATATAACCACTTTGTTCTTCATCCCATTTATTTGTACCTTAGAAAAAGGGTTTTGGAAGTTTCTCGCAAACAAAAATAAGAAAGTAGTTAAGTAATCAGTAAAGAAGAAAAGTAAATAATTTGTTATGAAAATGAATTGGTGTCAGAAACAGGTGAACCTAACAAAAAATGTTCACAGTGTGATCCATTTTTTAACAAATAAGCATTACTTGAGAACATTTGCTGCACTCAAAGTATAGTTATCTTTCATCAGTCATGGGAAACGCTTCCTCAGTGATTCTTTGCAGCTCTTTGAGGTTACGAGGCTCGTTATCATAAACTTTACTTTTGAAGCATCGTTCAAGGATAAAAATCTGATGATAAATTAGGCAAATGAGGGTGCCACAAACCTTGTGAACCAGGCATTCTCACTATAAAAAACACTACTTTATCAAGTGCTTCAAGACCTTTACTAACAAAGCTCCTGAGATATCTGCTGTTTGAATGTGTTCATTTTCATTTTTTTCATAGTGCAGTGCGTCCTTCCATACAAAAGATTGCAATGCTGCTAAGCTTCCTTAATGATTTTCTCGGGGAAGATGAAAGAACTTCCTGAATGTCCTCTAGATTTCATTGCTAGATCACTGTATTTTGGCAACTGCTTTTATGATCAATTAAACTCTCTGTCTCGTGATACCTCTTCACTAATTGAAATATGGTACTCTTGTTCAGAATAGGTTCAGATGAAACTTTTTTTTTTGAAAGGTGCTTGGCACTCTTTGAAGGATTGTCTTCTGAAGTACCCCTCCACCACAAATCAGCATCATCCTCAATGCTGAGGTGCATCATAAGTTAAATTCAAAACTGTGAATGATGATGCAGCCTGTTTTGCTTTGAGCAGGTATGACACAGACCACAAGAAAGAAGGGTGTAGAGTCGAAGGAAGGTCTGGTGCATAAAGAGACTGTCCCAGAAATGCAGTCAAAAGAGCTGTACCAAAAGCAGTGTTGCAATTCTTTCACATTTTTATTAGGCCTTTGTACAGTAGGGATGCATTTTAAACTGATCACCCGGTATTAATTTTCCATTTGTTAAGATGCTGTAAGACAGTTTGTGGTTTAATGTAACCTCTTCTTCAGTGTGAAGTTTGGCAAATTTAAAAAATTTAAAATTAAAAATTTTAAAAAGGGGTAAAAATTAGTGGTACTAGAATGGCACAGATTTCTTGTACTGTGTTTCCTTTTCTTCAATCTGGGCTAACTTTTTGGTTTTGTCGCTCTCTTCTCAGCTGTCATCTACTGGTGCCTTAAGGTCACTTTTTATCAGTTTTTCAACTTTGTTATACCTTAATTATAGAACTGAAATATTGCTAAGAATATTATGGAAGATGCCCATGTGTAAGTTTTTGTTGAAAAATTGGGAACCATCTAAGCAAATGTCTGAGCATTTCTGAACATACAAACTTTTGAGCCCTATTTCACAGAAATGTTTTGAGGTTTTGAGAAACTGGATATCATTAGAAACATTTCTACTCGCCAATGCAATAATGTATAAAAAGCATCTGTAATGAAAATATTAATGATTTGAGATAGATTTAAAAAAAATTAATCTGTCATTTTTAAACAATCAAAAGAATACAGCAAAATGGCATTGCAAGATATCTTCTTATAGAGTGTGTTTAGAACTGTCCTTTGAAAAAGTTTGAATTTGTAGCGGTTTTTGAAAAAATCACTTTATTATATTTGCATATTGCCCATATTTAACACAAAATTACCCAAGAATGGCAAAAATTTTAAAAATAATGTACATAACATTAATCGAAGAAGTAATTTTGGTTGAAAAAAAATTCCATTTAGTCTCCAGTATTGTAACTGAAGGAAGATGCTGAAAAAAATTGTCTTTTGTAATTTTTTTAAATTCCAGCTTTCAGAGAAAAAAATCCGATCTATGCCACCTCTACAAATGTATTTTATTCTTTCCTTACAAGAAATTTAAAGCAAAAATTTGGAGTCATTTTTGAGAAAATTTTGATAATTTCTGCTTCACTTAAAGTACCCCCAAAATTTAAAGAATGTTTTACAAACTTACATTTTTGAAAAAAACAGAACACTTTTGCGGTATCAGGGAACCCAAAATTATGTATTTCCATTGAAATCTTGAAATTAATTTTCTGCAGCATTACATAACTTTATCTATACTACATTACTCCACATAAAGCAATTTTAAAAAATTACTTTATTGTGAATAATTGATTTGGTAACTTCTAGTCTCCTAATTGTGTCATTACAATAAAATAGTGATCTTAATTTGACAAAACAACTACAAATTAGTTAAAATACTCTCAAAAAAAATTAATAATTTCTTTTCTAATTATCATAGTGTATACAGATATGAAAATATTAATATTAATTTTGAAAAATAGTTAATACAATTCTACATCAATAATTTTGTTTGCAGTTTTGGGATACTCGCAGCCCCAACCCAATGCTGACTATTAGTCTTCCAGAACGTGTGTATTGTGCTGATGTGGTAAGAATGTGTAGTATAAGTCTCTAATTTGTATTAAATTGACTATCAATGTAACAAATATTCTGTGCTAAAGGATGATGATAGTTTGTATGATTTGTAAGACACCATGAACACAAAACACCATAAATGTGCTACTGGTATATTGAGAATTACTCCTCAGGGGGCATCAAACATAGTAAAAAATATAGCATAGAAAAAATGTAGAGTAATGCTAAAAAATCATTAAATCTACATGCAATCTGCAATACAAATTGGACTGCAACACATTATCGTCATACACGATTACAAAATGGTTGATGTAAGTTTGTCTATTTATTTGAAAATCCTTAGCAGTATTATAATGCTAACCCACTCACAGGCTGTTGTAATGTACACTTCAGGGCTTGGCCAAAATTTGGTTTCATTTTGAAGCTATTTTGACTTTTCAAATGATGATTTACAAATTGCGGAATGTTTGCTCAGGTACAACTATTTATATATTAAACACACTAGCACCTTTGAAATTGGGTAGTAAGAGTAGTGTGTTCAAATTTATGTGAAGTATAGTTTCCCTTACAGTCATTTAAATTATTTTCAGTTTTTTCTAATGAATACATATCCTTAATGTGTTCTAAATATATTTTTAATACATTCTTTAGCAGCCTCTTTTGTGAGATTGATATGCAGTAAAGACTGATGCACTGTAATTTTCTTTCTTTTTTAATCTCGCCTTTAAAAATCATATTTGAAGATTTTGAACAGTTTAGAACTTATAAATATTAAGTGCAATAATCCTTTTTTTCTTGTGATGACCTAATTTGTTTCACTTCCATTTTTTCAGGATTTTCCTATGGCTGTTGTTGGGACTGCTAATCGTGGTCTCATTGTTTATCAATTGGAAGGAAAACCTCAAGAATATAAACGTATTGATTCTCCTTTGAAATACCAGCATAGATGTGTTGCTATCTTTCGTGACAAGAAGAAACAACCTACTGGTGAGAAAAGTCTTGTTCTTTTAATTTTTAATTTATTGTGTTTTCGTTAGCAACAAAAATACTGATGACGTGTTATGAAATTAAATTCATTGGAAATCGCAGTTGTATATTTTATATTGGATTTCGAGAACATGCTCCAGGACATGGTGTAATTACATATCTCTATTGCACACTGAGAATGAAGAGGGGAGATAAGTGACAGTCTATGACAAAATCCAAAGTTAGGAGGCATTAAGTATATTAATGGTTGTGGTGAGATGGTTGAAATTGTGGTATTAAATAAAAATATGGTTTGTAAGATAAAAATGGTTAATATTATATGTAGATAGATAAATATATTAATTTTAATTTATTGATGCATTTTTTATGTGACAAGGCTCAGGCCAGCTGGTTCATATGCTTGACCTCAAACATTTCTCTATGCTCCTTTCACCATCTAGTGGCAAAAGAATATATCACTCGGGTGATTAAAATTTATCACAGAGGCTTCAGTATCTTTTTTACATGCAGTAAATCTTCAACATGAGACAGCTGGCTTTATTTGCCCTTGTAAGAAAGGTGTGGAAAGGATTAGGAATAGCAATAGCTCAGGCATTAAGTTTTAATATTCTCATCTACGAAACAATTTTCAGGACCGATAAGCAATTGCAATATTATTTTGACTGAATAGTAAGAATTAGTTCAAAATTCAAAAATTTGCAGGAGTGCTTTTCAAAATTAGGAGGTCTAGTGAATACGGTATTTATAATACTTGTATAAGTTAAAACTAAGCTGCAGCTTTAGTTGTAACTAAATTTCTGTTTGAACAACTGTAACATCATATTGTTCAAAAGCAGTTGTAGAATTTTTTCTGGAAATTGCGTAAGTGTGGAAAGAATCTTATCATTTAGATTCTTTGGATCAGTTGAACTAGTAATGTGCTTGTAACCTGATTTAATACACAAAAGGGGTGCTGAATTACACATGTATAATTTTCCTTTCTAATACGCGATGCCACAATAATGTGATAAATATTTTATCCCCTTAGTTAATTTTTATCAAATTTGATAATTGTTTTCAATACCAGTGACAGTTTTTGTGTGGAGGTATTTCTGTTTGTATGAGAAAAGATTTTCCAATGTATCCATAATAACTACGTATGCCTGTTTTTCAATAGGTTATGCATTGGGAAGTGTGGAAGGTCGTGTGGCCATACAATATGTGAACCCATCGAATCCCAAAGATAATTTCACATTCAAATGTCATCGCTCAAATGGATCTACTAACGGTTACCAAGATATTTATGCTGTAAGTATGGAAGGAAATCTGAAACAATGACCTACCTTTTCTGATTTGCATAACATTCGTCTGCTAGTTAGTTATCAAACTGGAGGCAGGAAATCTTGAATAGCTTGTTTAATTGAACCTTGGGATGTAGAAAACTGTTTTTGGGGATGAAAAGTTGAGGTGAGGCAGAGGCTAACGAAGGTTGCGAATTGTTAATTTTAAAATTATTGTCCTTCAAGGGGATGACACATAAAGTAGTTATTTTGCATTTGGTTTTGAATAGTATTAGGAAATTTTGACATAATCAACATACTACATGCAGTTGACTCCAGTAATAAAGAACTTGGTCCCATTTCACTTACAATACAAATAAGCATAAGAACATTCGGTTATAGTGAATTCTGAACTTCGGCTATTGTGGACATTGGAAATACAATACAATTATATTTAACCTTAGAGCTTTTAGGTTAAGATTTATTGGATCATTTGTAGGTGAAAACAAAACCAAAAATGTTATCGGTTTTTTCATTGCGTATTTAACAACTACCTCCCCTCATAATTTTTCTCTATTTTATCTATCCTCCTGCAATAACCTTTCGATTTTTTCTGTCCTTTTGGTAGATGTAATTACAGCATTTGACCGGGTATCTTAGTTTGGTCATTGTTTCCATTAAAATATCTTGTTTCAGAACGTATTTTTGAAATTGATTGAATTAAGCTGGGTCACATTTTGGGTGCAAAACCATTTTTTAAAAAAGTTACTGCTGATGGTGCGCATTTCCCTGGAGTGTTAACTTCTGGCTTTATTCAACAATTTTTAATATACCTCTAATGTATTTAATGATCGCTGCAAGATTGTCTTGAAGCCTCCTCAAATTTATGGGCATTCCGCATTCTGTTGCTTTGAGATTCTGAAATCATTTCAAAAATTCACTAAAATTTCACTGGAGTTGATGAGGGAAGATAATTATTTTTGTTGTCGAAGTATTTCATAATAAAGTTCAAGAGTGTTCTTCTAGTGTTTGATTTTCGAATAATCGAAAAACTTGCACAATGTCCTTGCCAAATTAAAAGGAGGAAATATTTTCTATATCACTTACTTCAGATTCCCAGAATTCCCATTTTTTCTATCATTTGGGTTTTCATCTGTTTTCTCAAGAATCTAAAAATTATTCCCTCTTGTATTCCTCTCTACAAATTTCATCAATGGTTTTGTCATTTTTGTGCAGTTGGAGAAATTGGTTGGCAATTTCGATCTCATAATCTTTGTTTAATTTGTCAATGTTTTGTGAAATCAACAAATAATATTTAGCAACTCCATTACTTATGACTTACATTTGTAATTTGTATATTGTTCAAAGATGGAACATGTCTTCGTTCCACTTACTTTCATTTTTGTATTGTTCATTATGTTCACAGGTAAATGACATAGCTTTTCATCCTGTGCATGGAACTCTTGCTACGGTTGGTTCAGATGGGAGCTTTAGCTTTTGGGATAAGGATGCTCGTACTAAGTTGAAACCATCTGAAGCCATGGAACAGTCTATCACAAGATGCTGTTTTAATAGCAATGGACAAATATTTGCTTACGCAGTTAGCTATGATTGGTCCAAGGTAATTTATTTATTATTTTATGTTTTTTTCATTATTTCTTAAGAAAAGAAACTTTTTCTTACTTACTTTCCTTCGTAGGGACATGAGTTTTATAACCCAATGAAGAAGAACTACATTTTTCTGAGAAGCTGTTATGACGAGCTAAAACCAAGAAGCTCATCATGAAAGGGTCGTAAAAAATGCATTTACTAAAAGGTCCAGACTGATTCCATTGTAAATAATTGCTTTTGTTAAGAATTGTATATAATTTTGCTTCTATTTCTTTTAATGTTATTTTGTTAGTTCTTTTAATCTCATCAGAATATTTCTGTAATATGTATTTCTTTTTTACACAAAATATTTGATTTGTGAAATAAATTAGTAATGCCAGATTTTCCTTGAATGGCAGTTACATCAACAGACTTTTTCTTACCAAATTAAGGGCTGGTTTCACCAAACGCATTTAAGTACCTCACTAAAAATCTTAAAATGATCATGATGAACACAGAACTTGCAATATAATTGCTGTTAGCTGTGCATCTGTTTCAATATGGAAAGTATGAACAGAATCGCTTTATGCTTCATGCTAAAATTGAAATGTTGGTTCTTTTCGTAGTGCATTATGCGATGCTAACCTTCTTTTGAATATTCTTTGCAACTGCAGCACTGCCCACTGTCCAGTGCGAGGAGGGAAAGGTTGATATTTTATAACATCATAACATGCCTTTTACAACCTTTTTGGTAATGGCTCCTTCCAACTGTTGGATCTCCTGGAGCTTAGTACCATAATGTAGTCAACAAATGAATGATTTTAAAATAACTTCTGCAATGAAAAAAGGGGTAAAATTATATAGCTTTGCAAATTTTCAAATAATGAAAGTCTAAAGTATTAATATTGTTTCACATTAATTTTTAATAAGTTAAATAGTAAGCATGTTATTTATGGAAAATATGCTCTTAATTGCAATGTTATGAAAGCTATCAATAAAATTTGATTTGAAAGTGAAAATTTGAAGAAAAGATTTTGATAAAAGCTTCTCAATGTTTTCCAAAGAAGGTGTGTATTCAGACATCATTATATTCATCAGTACTCACTAGAATTTTCATGTATACCCCAAATCAGAAGTTGCTCAAGATTTGTTGCATTTAAGGGTCTGTGAAAATGGATACAATATTAAACAAGACCATGAAGGTTGTCCCAAGAAAGGAAAGCAGAAAACTGATTACTTCTTAAACAACATTTCTAGGGGTTAATTTCCAATGAGTTTTACTTCCAATAATAATTAAGTTCAATGTACTAGATGGTGAAATTTGCGAACAATTAAATGTGCTTCATTCGGAGGTGAATGGATTTAACATGTAATGAAATGTGGTGAAACCAACCCTTATAGTCATAGTTTTGTTTCTGGTCAAAGGGTTTGTATCTAGTGAATGATTATTGTAAAGGTAGAATTGCTGTTTTTCCAAAGCTTCCTACTAGGCTTATGAGGAGAGTTGTGTAATCCATAGTTTTGAGAATATGTTCTATTCGCTCTGACGTGCTGCAAACTAGTCACCGCTTACATCTGTTTTGGGTGATGGCAGAAGCATTTTATCTATAAAACTTATGACTGAAGTTTCTCAATCTCACATATATACTAGTTAGTAGCTTGTATTTTCAAGAATTACACAAGTTTCTGTGACATTCTATGAATTTGTTTACCGCTTCCCCCCCTACTTTTAAACCATTGCTCTAAACATAGAATCGCTAATAGGTGCCACTTTTCAATGTTGAATGTGCATCAAATGCAAGATGAGAGAGAGGCTGATTGAATTTTCAACCTGCTTGTTTGTTTTAAAATGAATTTTCTTCAGTGATAATTTAAAAAAATGTTCTTTTTGAAGATTGTATCATAAATGGAATTTAAGGAAGGAAAATATAACTAAATAACATTCTCCAAATTCATCTAATTTTAAAATTTTGTTCTATCCCATCTGTGCCTTCAAGCATTTGAGGGGTGTGTTCACAATACACTAATAAACGTAAAAATGTAGAAACAGTCCCAGGCAAAAACATTATTGTATATGATTAAATAATGTGGCATAAAGATAGCCTCTTAATATTCAACAGTATTTAAATTATATATTTGAGCTTTTCTTCCAGCCTTTCTCGCAACTGGCAGTCATTTGTGGATCATGAATATGTTTGCCTTCTAGTGGCGTAACACCGTTTGTTACGTTGTTTTTTCCTAAAAAGATTGGGAAACTGCCATGACTGCCCAACATTCTTCCTTTCCGACTAGAAAAGAATTATAGAACTTGTTAAATATTGACAACCACAAAGTGCTTTTGGTCACTTGTGAAATACTGTACATAATAATAAACTCTGATATACTATATTTTCACAAAAAAATATTTTAATCATTGTTATAATATGACAAGATAATTTTTACTCCCATGACCTTGTAAAATTAAAAATGAGCTGTTTCAAGCAGTTTTGAAAGAGCTTTTGAATATTCCAACCTTAGATTTCTGGAGACTGTTGATATAAAGGATGGTATCCTTTCAATTTATGTTGTAAAATAAAAATAAGCTTTTATAACCAAAGTAAATTAGAAATTTAATGTGTTGTCTCTCATTGTTCAAGTAGATTTGAAGGGAGGAATTCATAACAGGCTTCATCTAATTTTTGTTCTGTGCATGAACTTATAAATATTGTAAAAGTCATATTGACTAGTAGTAAACATTATGTATTTTTATTTATTAGTTCTAAAGTCCTTTGCTGTTTACGAACTAAATGGTACCTGTTCAACGAATGAACCGAGATCCTTTTCCCAATTTTCAATGTGTACTATTTTTGTGTTTAATAAATATTTGGATACATGTTTTATTTAGGTTGTTCTTCCTTCTGCCTTCAGTACCATCTTCACATGGATTCTGTTCATCAGAACTGAGCCATTATCAAAAAAGTTGTAGTTATCATGTCATAGAAAACCTTCATTCAATGTTACATAATTTAATAGACAATATTGGAGACTCAAAACAAGTAATTAATAATTTTGAGCTGTCCAAAGAATGGCTTGGCTGGGAATTTAACCTGAATCTTCCAATGTTACATAGATGATTCATATAATTCAAATTATTGGAACAATTCAAACATCATATCCTTTCCAGTGTGTTCAGAATATTTTTGTGGTCGTTATGTTCAAGAAGCACAGGTTAAGCTAAGTGTTTATAAAGTTAATATGACAGTAAAATGTGTCCAAGCCGGAATGGATCGAGGGTTTCCGTTTTATTCAAGGTTGACACTTGTGATTTTGAGGTTTCTGCCCTGAAAGTACTAAATTACAAGACTTAAAATAATCAAATATATGAACGTATTACATATTTATGGAAGAAATGGCCAATGAATTAATAATACATTTCTTTGTCAACTTCGAGGTTGAAAATAGACACCCTACTTGCTGTATTCAGGCAGCTTGCCGCCTCTTTCAACACACTATGACTTTCTGATACCCTCGCATGGCCTGGAGAAATGCGTGTCTGGTCGAGGGGTTATGGTTTTCAATGCTGGGCAGGGAGATGCTTGAGTAGAAGCCACGGCCGTGGAGGAATATAGAAAGGCAGAGTTGGAAGAGAGGGAATTCCCCTTCAGTACCTAAAACCGCTACCGCCGTACGTGGCCACGACAATGCAGAGCGTAAACCAACGTACCTCTTCTCAGATCAAGCAAAGGCAGCCGACATGCTTGGAGAGAGGTTTGTTAACACTACATAGGCGGTAGATGAGGAAAAGGATGACAGCGCTAACACACGTACAGTCGAAGTTTCGACTACAATTAAATGTTTGCGTAGTCGCAAGGCACCGGGGCGTGACCGAATAGGCCCTTCAAGTCATAAACACGGAGCTTACGGGAATCTACAATAGCTGCGGTACTTTCCGGAAAATTGGAAATACGGAAGTATTTCTATGCTTCCGAAACCCGGTAAGTATCTCACGATCGTGGCGAGTCACAGGCCTATCATTCTCCCGGATATTGGAAAGGCATTTGAGAGGCTTCTACTCGCAATAATTCTGCCAACTGCTCTTTCGCGGAACCTCGTCCGTGATGAACAGTCTGCCTTCAGACCGGGCCATTCCCTTCACTACAAGCACATTGCATGGCTCAGCAGATTTCCGCTGGTCTGTTACTCACACAGGATGTTCCTGTCATATATCTCGACATGGTGCAAGTCTTTGACAAAGTGCCACACAGTACACTCATCACCAAACTTCGGCGCTGCCTTCCACAAGACGTAACCGAAATGGTTACATCTTTCCTCACAAACCGCACATTCGTGGTAAATGTGGGGAAAGCGAGATCCTCAAAGCGGACGATTGCGGCCGGAGTACCTCAGGTCTCCGTCCTCTCTCCGCTACTGTTCTCGTTGTATGTCAATGACATCCCGCATATACCACGAATACAGCTCTTCCTTTATGCTGATGACATAGCCGTCTTAGCAAGAGGAATAAACCTACACCACAAACTCAAAATACTTCAAAAACAGATGAACCTGACGCTGAAGTGGGCGGAACAAAACCACTTCACTTTTTCAGCGGAAAAGTCGCATGATATGGCCCCTTGTTTGCTCCTGAACCGTAATGTAACTTCGCGCTCTCCACCCAAGGCATCACATTGACTCGTCATACACGATTGTAATTGTATATGTGACTCAATAAATATTATTATTATTATTGTTGTTGTTGTTGTTACACTCGCCACAAATACACCAAACGTTTTACACCAAAACAAATTACACTTGGTACACAAAAACTAATATGGGCACCTAAGGCAACCTACTTACGCGTCGCTTTCGATCGAAGGCTGCCCTGGCATTTACATGTCAGGCGAATTCGATCAAAATTACAACAAAGAGTCCGACTATACAACATCTTTTGAGGGAACCTACACTCCCCTTGGAACTTCCCATAGCACTCTATAAAACGTGTTGCCGGCCTGTGGCCACCTACGCTGCAGCAACGTGGTGGACTGCAGCACAGTACAAGGATACACTTGAGCTTTTACAAAACAAAGTTCTACGGCCTCCGTTTCGGAAACGGTTGAAAGTACTGAGGAAGGGACTTGATATCGAGTCCTTCACTCAGTGCTCGACACGAACCCACACCAGCCACTTACACATAGCAGTAAAACGCAAAATTGCGTGCGCACTGCAACACAGAGTACACAAACCTTTGGCTAAGCCAAAAAAAGAGACAAGCCACCCCAAGGTCGAATTCTGCGCTGGCAGCTGAAGCCGCCCTCTTTCAATATCTGGCTGATACGACAAAACGCGACACAGGGATAAAGAATTTAAAACAAGCTTGCAGATAGTCATTTCATTAAGAACATCTCGCCTCTCTCTGCCAATTGCAAAAAATGCATAGGAATTGTTTAATAAAGACATTTTTTCCTGCAGGACGTGGAAAACTGTTCCGTTTCCGCGGTGGATAAATTACTTGTCATTCTGTGTTAAATGCCATTGTACTTCACGATCCGGAGAAATTTTCCAGTTAAAGCAGGTTTTCGGCTTATACAGGTTCCCGTTTGGACAGGTTTTTATGTATTTATTATTGTACGTATGTAAATAGATAATATAGTGACATAAAAATGGTATAGAAACCTAATTGTACATTTTGTTCCAGTTGTACAATGAATATCGCGAGATTATCACCCCAGGTTAAGTACATGAATTTGAGGGAATATTTACATTGTAAGTCTTTAGGTTATCGAATTCCTTTCATTGAAAGGATCCATTAAAAAACAAAAACAAAAAAAGCTTTCGGATAATTAAGCTTCCCCTAAGCGATTTTTATAAAGCTGCCTCTCAGAGCCCATCTTCACAGTGGCATTATGTGTGTTAAAGGTACGGAATGTAACGATACACTGAATAAGAAAAGATGTATTAAAACACCATACACAGACATAGCATCTTAACCACTCGGCGGCACAGGCAGATGAAAACGAGAAGCACGTGTAACATGACAATAACGACAAGAAATAATTTTGTCCCAACAGCCCCTCTCAAAGATTGTGCCGGTGTAACGTTTGCAGACTGCGCGCACGAAATAATATTGTCCCCTTAACTCCGCTGGAAGATAGGGCCGCTGTCCCTCTTGCAGATCCCTGGAGACAACCCTGTGCAAGCGATCTCAGTGCCATCTGCTTATCCTCTTGGTGAATAGGTACGCGGCCATCCGGTCGGCCAGCGCGTAATCGAAACAAATTTCGCCGTTTGCTCCTCACTTGTTCCTCAGAACGACACGATTACGACTTGCAGTTTTGTCGCTCAGATGTTTGACAAGGTCCGTGTTTGGTTCTGCAGGGTAGACCCGAGTTCGTCTGCTGCCATCGCTGCCAGCCATTTAGTTTTATCAGAACTTGATACGACTGAACTTACCGGAATCTCGGTCAGACAGACGAGAAACGCCTGTGCTTAATCGCCCGCGTTATGAACTTTCCACCGCCCCGTCTGGCTGTCTTTCGTCATCCCGGTCCGCGTCGTGGAGTTTCAACGTCGGGTGCAGGTTCGACGCGAAACCCAAAAAATCCTCCTGTGTCGTCGCCTCTGATGATTTCATCTTCCGGGTGAATCTGCTCGTCCGCCTCGGGGTCGCCTGTATTTTTCCCTCGGGTGTTTGCATTTAAATCAATTCAATGAAGAGGCCGGCCCTTTCGAAGTTTTCATCTGATCATAATTGTTGGCACATAAACCGTCAAATTAATTTTTTAGCGTTTTAGAAGAAAATATCATACATTTCAATCTTCGAGATAGTTTAGCGTCGGTAATCTTATCTTCGAGATAGTCTAATCTGGCTCAAAAACCGCGCGATTTCCTTCCCAATTGACCAAATACTAATTTTTTGTAGAAAATTCTTTGACATCGATTGTCAACTGCTTTCTGTTAGTTCGAAGAATCACCAAAAGATCGCACCATCTCCTGGGTGGACGCGACGAAATATATACCCATTGAAAGATTTCTCGCAAACCTATTTTTCCACATCAGACGCGACGAGCTCGCATTGTTATGAGAATCAGAGCCGCGAGTAGTTTCGTAGCGATTGTGCTCGGAAGCTAAGTGAAACATGTATTGGGTGCTTTGAAAGTTTGATTCGGCAGACGTCATTTGAAGCATATTAACTCACAATTACAATAGTGATTACAAATTGCTGGAAAGGTGCATATTAACGCCGTTAGAGATCTTTCAAAAAAAAAAATAATTTGTGTCATTTTGGAAGCAAGCAAAAGCAAAAGAATACTGCAAAATGACTTTTATGTCCTCTTAAGCAGTGCAATTAGCACTATCCGTACGAAAAGTTTTAAGAAACAACTTTGAGTGTTTTTTGAGAAAATGGAGTTTAAGCCATTCTGAAAATGCGGAAATTTGAGCTAGTTTTTACAGAAATCAGGTGACTTTCAAGAAACTTTATATGACATTATTTAAAGCACATGTACTCATAAACACAATAATGTGAATAAATTGTCGCTAATGTAAATATTAACGATATGAGAGACAAATCAAAACGTACGAAGAATCTAAAAATCAACAGATCTAACAAAACAAAGATGTTTCATCGCATTATTGTGTGTGTAAATAAGCCGATTAATCATTCTAACCTTTCAACTTCAATAATTCGCAATAAGATGGGCAACTGCAGGCCACTAGGCGATAGGAGATCTTATGTATTCTAAAAATATTGCATTTAACAATGCTAATTAAGTTTCTTTACAGATAATAAGAGAACATTGTAATAACAGGTTTCTGATACATTTGTTACCGATGAATACTGTTCAGGAAATAATTCATACGGAAACAGTTCATATGGTAATTACTAAATTTACTTAAATTAGCA